TCCTTACTTCTACTTTGCCTTGGTTATATAGATCTGGGTAGGCCTTTACATCTTCCCACCTTTTTTAATAGTTTGAAGATGAAAAGGAGGTTCTGGAGCAATTCCATCAATGTTCGCAGTCTTTTAGCCTAATCATTATGTAAATCACCAGAGCAGCTGTGCACCAATTAATTGCGAAAGTGTACAGGTGGTCAGCAGAATGACTTGAAAAATGCACTCCTGTTTTAAGGGGCCTTTCATTTCTTAAAAAACAAAAAAGGCAACAGCTTTTAAATTTAATGCAGAAAGTAAACGCCAAAATGGTTAAAATAAAAAAATAGTAAAATAACAACATAGCCTGTGCCAGTTGTAACCAAATTAAATGGAACAGTTCACAGGTGTTCCAAAACAATGTTCATAATATAGTTGAAGAAAATTGCTTCTCTCGTTTTTATGACTTTAATACTAGGACAATCTTTATATACAATGAAAAATTTTTAAACAGCAGTGAAATGATGCCATTTTATCTCTGATCCTTCTCTTTATGTACTGTACTACTGCTATATATACAGATTAATCTCTTATTACTGATGACTCTGTTATTCACACTCCTATAGCCATAAATATGGATCACTGTGTATCAACTCAGAAATCACTCTGTGTGACTAGATAAACAATGTATACAGATCATTTTAGTAAAGAATGATCTTAAGTTAGTGAACTTGTACTAGAAGCTACAATTATACTTCATAAATGACTTCTATGCCTGGAAAGAAGTATATGTTTGACTTAATGGCTATTATATATCACAGCATAAACACTGCATTCCTACATCTTTTCCTCCCTTCAACAAATCCTTACCCATCACATTTTTTCACATATTACTTGTATTGGGCTAAGATTTGTGAGGGATACAGAAAAAAATGAGAAGAATTTCTATCTCTAAAGCAGGTAAGAGGACAATAGAAGAGATGCTCTGTGTGTGTGTGTGTGTGTGTCTGTCTGTCTGTCTAGCTAGCTAGCTATAAAGATGATAGGAAACAGCATTGCTATTTAAGAGGTACCCTGAAATTTATATGTAAAATGTTTTATGTCAGTAGTTACTTACTGAACACCTACAAGTGAAGAGCCTGCAATGGAAGTTAGGAATACAGCTATGAAAAAGACAAACACATTATTTGGTGTTATATGTTTTGCCATCTAAATGGAAGGCAGACACTAAACACATAATAAATGAGAATTATAAATTGTGATAAGTAACATGACGGAAGCAAGACAGTAGTAGAGAATAACTCTTACTTTGTATGGGCATGAAAATATGCCCAGACAAAGACTTGCATGTAAACGTTCATGGAAGTATTATTGGTAATAGCTAAAAGTGGAAGCCACCCAAATGCCCATCAACTGGTGTTATGGTTGAATTTTGTCCCTCAAATAGATATGGTGAAGTCCTAACACCCAGTGCCTCTGAATGTGACCTTAGTTAGAAATAGAGTCAGCATAGATGTAATCAGCAAAGATAAGGTCGTGGTAGGGTAAGATGGACCCTAAATCAAATATTACTGGTGTCCTTCTAAGAACACAATGGGAAGAAACACATACACAGAGAGAATGTCACGTGACAACAGAGGCAAAGATGGAGTGATGTGACTATAAGCCAATGAATGCCAAGGATTGACAGCTACCACCAGAAGGTAGGAAAGATTCTTCCTAGAGTCTCAAAGGGAGCATGGCCCTGTCAACACCTGTATTTATGACTTCTGTCCTCTAGAACTATAAGAGAATAAATTTATTTTGCTTAGGGCCACTGAGTCTGTAATGCTTTGTTAAGGCAACTCTAGGAAACTAATACAACCAGCGAATGGAGAAGGAAAATGTGGTATATCCATACAGTGGAATATTATTCTGCAATAAAAAGGAACAAACTACTGGTACATGCTACAACATGGATGAATCTTGAAAACACTATGCTCAGTGAAAGAGGCCAGGCACAAAAGACCGCATATTGCACAATTTAATTTATATGAAATATTCAGAAAAAAGCAAATGTATAGAGACAGAAAGAAGTTAGAGGTTTCCCAGGACTGAGACTGGGAATGGGGATTAATTGTGAATGGGCATGAGGCATCTCACTGGGGTGATGGAAATGTTCTAAAACTAGATTGTGGTGATAGTGGCATGACTCAGCAAATTTGCTAAAAGCCATTGGATTGCGCACTTAAAATTCGTGAACTTTTTAGTATGTAAATTATACCTTAAAAACTTGTTTTTCAAAAAATTATCAATGGAAACAGACAAAGGTAGAAGTTTTTATAATTTGAGTCATTTAAAGACCACTGTTGGCTAGAGAGTAGGGCCTACAGAGGAGAGGGGAAGGCAGTAAGTAGGCAAAGGATTCTGGGAGAGCAGATGTTCAGTTTGGGCCTAAATAGGCAGGATTTTAGGACATGGAGATAACAGTTCAGGGATCTGGGACATTGCGTCTTCTGCAGGGCCAATGATATTTTAGTTCTTTCAAACAAGGCCGTGTGACATATATTTGCTCCTTGGTGTAATTTTCATGACCGGATTAGATAAACACAATTTTATATGTGATATTTATAGACAGAGAGAGGCTGGGAAAAAAACCTGATGACTTCTAAGACCTCCTTGGCCCTTGTATTTTAACCTTATTGTCTCATCTCCCTGCAACACATCATACACTGCAGTGCAGGCTGTCTTGATTCCCTGGGAAGACGAAAGACCTCTTTCTCTCAAGGCAATTCTTTCTTTAATTAACACTGCTCTCAGAGTATACAGCCATATACACAGCACTAAAAGGTGTTAACTTGCTCACTGCGCTCAAAGTCATACTACTGATATTTATGGGATGATGATTCAACTGTACGGGCTGTTTGTTAGCAAGTTCAGCAGCTGTGTGTGAATATTGTTGTTAGTATGCACTGAGTCTTTACCAGGCCAGCTTTATGCAGATGCTCAAAGAAAGGCAAGCCCAGACTCAGGGGCAAGAGAACTCAGACAGCAGAGGCTGGCCAAAAAAGGAGGAATGATTTTGTGACTGAACGTGTCAAGCTTGGGTGTAATGTATTTTAACTTACTTTTGTAGTGTTATTCATTTCATGGTGAGAGGCCGTTGTAAGATATTAAGATGAGGAGTCAGGGGCCTGGGTTTCAACACTGACTGGTTTTCTGTGGGACTAAAGACAAACCATTTAACTTGTGAGATTACAGCCTTGCTTGTAAAAGAAAGGGATAGATTAGAATTGTGATTTTAACCTATGGAGGGATAAGTGTCCCTTCAAGAATAGGTTGCTAACCATGGATACTCTCCTTAGAAAAGTGTGCATCAAGTAGGAAAATAATACCAAGATTAAGGTCGCTGAACCAAATGATATCAAAGGTCCCTTCCAAATCCAATACTCCTTGTCATTCCAGGAAAGGAAGAAAAATGAAAACAACAACAAGAAGAACAATTATGTTCAAGTTTGCACTTTTAACAATGTACCTCACAGCAAACTTAGCTAGACTGTATGTCATCAGACACTCAGGGTTGATTCTGTTTTTCACAGTTTGAGGAGATCCTCTTGATGCTTCTCAAACTCTGAAATGGCTGATGAAAAGGGTCACCTCAGTGGAGTGCAGTGGCTTATGCCTGTAATCCCAGCACTTTGGGAGGCCGAGGCAGACAGATCACCTGAGGTCAGGAATTCAAGACGAGCCTGGCCAACATGGTGAAACCTCAAAGGTTCAGTCTCTTTTTCCTCTGACTATGGGAAGCCTAAAGGAAAGATGAAATGGAGAGCCCTATCTTTTTGTAGTAAGCTAAGTAATTCCAAACTCTTTACGGGCACAGTTGAATCAAATATCATAAAAAATGACCAGAAATGGAATAAGAATAAATGTATTAGAACCATTAGAGCAGTGGCAAATGGAGTCAAGAATATATTGATAAGAAATAATTGATAAGGCCAGGAGTGGTGACTCATGCCTGTAATGCCAGCAATTTAGGAGGCCAAGGCAGTTGGATCACTTGAGGCCAGGAGTTGGAGACCAGCCTGGCCAACATGGTGAAACCTCATCTCTACTAAAAATACAAAAAAATTAGCTTGGCCTGGTGGTGCAGAACTGTAGTCCCAGCTACTCGGGGAGGCTGAAGTAGGAGAATCGCTTGAACCTGGGAAGCAGAGATTGCAGTGAACCAGGATCCTGCCACCGCACTCTAGCCTGGGTGAGAGAATGAGACTTCGTCTCAAAAAAAAAAGAAAAGAAAGAAAGAACTGATAAGTATTTCATTACAAAGCATGGACTTAGTTTGTTAGACTGTGTTACCTTGGGCATAATTGTACAGTCATTTTCCAGGATATAGGAAAAGTGGGAGAATATGACCCTCTAAATAAGTTTGCCATTGGCAAGATAGGTATAACTTAAGTGTTTTCTACAGTTGTATCTTGTTATTCTTTTCTCACAGGTCCAAAATGTAATAAAAATACAGGCATTTGATGTTACATTGAATATACTAATTTATGATTCATTTATATTGGCCTTGGAAATGAAAGTAAAAGTTGTGGCCACAGAATGGTTACTCAGAAAAATTGTTTTGTTATATAGACATAATTAAGCATGCAAGTATTTTAAGTACTTTTATTAATAAATGTTACAAATTTTTCTGCATTATGCTTCCAAAGAGATAATTTAATTTTCCTGATGACTAGCACTGTATCCCCTTCTCCTTTTTTTTCCTTAAGACTACCTTAAAACAATACTTTCGAGGGGCAAAGTTGTATGCATGGAGAGTTTAATCCAGGTAGATGATGTGGTTCTGCAATACAAATTTTTCTGTAGCAGTAACTGGGAGAAGAGCCACAATTCATGACTGCTAGAGCTAGGACCTGCTTTAAATGAAGGAATTAATTGTGCACATAATGATGTGTATGAGCATTCTACATTAACTGAAAAATGAGTTTTACATTTTATACATTTTAAAAGAATCTCCAAGACTTAGCTCCTTTATTTATTCACAGGAGTGATGGGTGAATATGAGCCCAAAATAGAAGTGCAGTTCCCAGAAACAGTTCCAACAGCAAAAGGAGCAACGGTGAAGCTGGAATGCTTTGCTCTAGGAAAGTAAGTTCTGGTTTGCATTCCTTCTTATCCTCGCTTCAGCTTGAGCAGGTATAGAGTTTTTCTTGCACTGTTCACAGTGATGGTTTCTGAGGTGACTGAAAAGCAGGTGAAGCCTTTCTGTTTGTAATTCTGTGTATGCATCTTGGATTCTGCACCCCACCATGGAGAGAGGACATGTAATGGTGCAAGAAGGATTAGGCTGCCACAACTGACATGGCCACAAAGGAGAAGAGAATGGGCAATTCTGAAAAAGTATTTTGTTATATTATTATGACCTGTAATGTGCATGCTGTCTAACCCAGAATGACAGGAAAACAGTGGCCTCCATTTGAGGTACAGTTAAGCTGACTATTTGGAAAAATATGGATTTTCATTTTGGCCCCAGTTTATAGAGGATGCATCAGACTTTTCTTGAATTTCTTTTTAAACTGTCAGTCTCTTCTCTCTACTTTGGATTTCCTTCTGCTCTGGCTAGAGATAGGTAAGACGTGTTATTCTCTAAGAGAGTCTGTTTTGCAAAGTTGTCCGAAAATTGTTTCAGTGTGGACTTTCTTGAGAAAAGCCTACTTAGAAACTAGTTAGCTTTTCCATGGAGAATATATCAGAGGGCATAAAGAACATGAAATGCACATCGGTTGGGATTTTTATTTGCCAGTAACCAGCAATAAAGATTTGGCATAAACAGTGTAAACTATTATCTGAAGTGAGAATTTTGATATCTTCTGTGGATTTCAATGATCCATGTCAGTCTTTACGCCGAGCCCCATCTATCTGACAAACCCATTACTAACTCTCTTTTTCCTGTGCCCACATGTTCACTAAGGCAACAATACTTTTTCTTTTTTTCTTGTTTTTTTTTTTTTTTTTTTTTTTGGTAGAGGCAGGATCTGGGTATGTTGTCCAGGCTAGTCTTGGACTCCTGGATGAGTTATCCTCCCAACTTTGCTTGTCAAAGTGCTGGGATTGTAGGCCCGAGCCAGGGAGCCAGGCAACACTAACTCTACCAATCCTTATATCAGCGTGTAATCTATTTTCTTAGGATTTTTGTGTTTTGTGTTTTCCAGCAATCATAGAAAAGGTTCCTTTTTTCATTTTATTGTCAGTTCTAATAGAAAGGTTGTTTTGGTTTCCATGTGTTTTCAAGTCAGGACAGATAAGCTACAGTAGTATCTTTACTTTGGTACAGTACAATACATTTTTTATGTCCTGAAAACTTATATTAAATAGATTATGACATAACTATAGGATTGAACATTCTACAGACATTAAAAGTCAACTTGCAAAACAACATTCAAGACATAGAAAATGCCCATGATTTATTGCTAAGAGAACAAAAGCAGATCGCTAACAGTATAATATGATTAGACTTTTTATTTTTATTTTAAAGTATTTATGCATGTATAAGCATTTTTATATATGTGAAATTAAAGATGCGAGCAGGTAACTGGGTAGTCTAGATATACATTTGATGACACCTTGAAAAATCATCTGTGAAGAAAGAGCAGAATTCACATTGTTCACACTTCAAAGGGGGTTATGAATGAAACTCTATTCACACTGTTTGAATAGTGCTGGAATAAAAACAAAAAACCCAAATTGGCTTCTTCAGTCTACACAGAAATGTTTGGGTATGCACATCCAGCTGCTGAAACACATCCTCATTGCCCACTTAAAAGCAGAAAGACTACGTCTCAATATGGTTATTTTTAAAGGCATATATTAAGTGCATATCTCATCAGTATAAAGACACCGATTATGTACTTTTCATAGAGCCTTTCTGCATTTTGAGTTAGTGTCTGTCTAACGAACTCAAATTATTCTAAAACAAATATAGTGGAGTTGATGGCTTTAATGTTTTAAATACCATCTCAGGTTTCCCAGAGAAGATTAGCAAGTCTTTAGTCTAATTACTTCTCTGTGTGTGTTTTTGTGAAAAATAAATAAGTAAATAATTGTATCCCCTGCCAGGAAGCCACAATCTTAAAAGCTGTGGTTAGCTCACTAAACCATTGATTTGCAGATTCAATGAGGCCCTCTCTGCAATTTAAGATATGTTCTAACAGTTATGGCAGTAGGATGATAGATGCCTTGAGAGTACATAAAGATCTCACAGATGGCATCCTTCCTTTTCTCACTATTTTAAACAGTTTCCCCAACCCATCTTCCAAATGGACTGCTATGAGTTGGTAAGCTTCTCAATATATAAATGACAAGGAGAAAAACCATGTTGTCCAAAACAATGTACCTCGAGTGAACCTATCCTCTATGTCAGCAATAGGTTGTGTCTCCCAAATTTTATGAGCTCATTATTTCTACTATCATTTATTCATTATTTGGGTATTTCTCAAAGTAGGGCACTTGCATTGTTGGTACATAGATTTATGGAAATACATTGTTTCTCTTATGTCTCACACTTCTGGTATTTTGTTGGGGATGTTGAAAGGCTGGTGTCACTGAGACTGTCATCTGGAAGGCTTACAGCCTCTCCTTCCTGGCAGTCTCAAGGTATTCACTCTTCTCGTAGGACAGCTCAGGGCTGCCATGAGACAGAAAGCTGAAGCTGCCAGTTTCTTAACACCTGAGCTTTGATCCTACAACATCTCTTCTGTCTTATTTATTAGTCAAAGTGGTTAAAAAGAGCTACCAGGCTCAAGGGGAGGGGACATAGACCTCATCTCAATGGGAGGAATGTGAAAGAATTTGCAGCTATCTTTAATTTGCCACAAATGCACATGAACATTTTTATTTTCATATTTTTTATTTAGAAAAAAACATGTATGAGTGAAACCTTATCTCTACTAAAAATACAAAAATTAGCTGGGCATGGTGGCAGGCGCCTGTAGTCCCAGCTACTTGGGAGGCTGAGGCGGGAGAATCACTTGAACCCAGAAGATAGAGGTTGCAGTGAGCCAAAACTGCGCCACTGCACTCCAGCCTGGTGACAGAGCGATACTCTGTCTCAAAAAAAAAAAAAGAAAGAAAACAAAAGAGAAAAAGGATGAGAAAACATATATGACATATAAAAATCTGTTTTTATTTCAATGATAATAGTGTTTAGGAACTAGATCACTTCCCCACCACCGCCCCCCCCGAGACAAGGTCTCGCTCTGTCGCCCAGGCTGGAGTGCAGTAGTACGATCTCGGCTCACTGCAACTTCCGCTTCCCGGGTTTAAGTGTTCAAGTGATCCTCCTGCCTTGGCCTCCTGAGTAGCTCAGATTACAGGCACCTGCCACCATGCCCAGCTAATTTTTTTGTATTTTTAGTAGAGACAGGGTTTCACCATGTTGGCCAGGCTGGTTTCAAACTCCTGACCTCAAATGATCTGCCCACCTCGGCCTCCCAAAGTGCCAGGATTACAGGTGTGAGTCACTGTGCCCTGCCAGATCACTTTATTTAAAGTTAAGAAAAGTTATTTGATTTTAAGAACACTAAATAAATAATACTAGAGATGTGGATATGATTAAAATTGTAATGGAGATAGAGGAATGACTGAAATTTGCAAAACACTGCAAGCTTATATGTGTAGAACCAAGAAGGAAGGGGTTCAAATAAAAGGTTCAGTTTTCTCTAGTTTGATTCACTCCTTTTTATTCTTGCTATCAGTCCGGTACCAACTATTATCTGGCGAAGAGCTGATGGAAAGCCGATAGCAAGGAAAGCCAGAAGACACAAGTCAAATGGAATTCTTGAGATCCCTAATTTTCAGCAGGAGGATGCCGGTTTATATGAATGTGTGGCTGAAAATTCCAGAGGGAAAAATGTAGCAAGGGGACAGCTAACTTTTTATGGTAAGTGTATGATTTCAGTTTATCGTTTGTAGTACTACAGAACTTCCTGATATTGAAATCATAAGCTGAGAGGCATTCAGGCATTTTGGGAGAGATTGTGCAGCACAGGATTATGTGAAACTCATGGTTTGCTCCATAATTAGCCCTGGTTGATTCTGGGTGTGGAGAGTGAGGGTAGGGGGCAAGGATGTTGATGGAGCAGAGAGGAAGACATTAGGCTGATGTGTTTGGAGGATGGATATTAGTGTGAACACACTTGCAAAGAAGTCTGTTTTTTCTCTTTGCTCAAGCTGTAAACCTGACACAGGAAACATTTTATTATTCCTGCTCCTGATTTATCTTTTTTTAAAGCTCTGTGCTTTTCTTCATTAGAATTTTGATTTGAGGCTTGTGTTAATCTTTTGTAATTGCTCCTATTTGGTAGCAATTTAATGTGGTACCATGAACATTTCAAAATGCAAGCTGTCCAAATTTAGTTCTTATCAGAGTGGAATGTGACAAATCTCTCTCACCCCAAAGACATTTTATGTGCAGCTGCTCCTATTCCAATCAAATCATGAGCATTGATCCAAATAATATAAATGTAAAACCACTAGCCCATGGTCATTATTGAGACCATCTTGGAAACCCTGTTAGGATATTGATTTGAAATCTAGAAAAGGATTTCATTGGATAGGCATTTTGAAAGCAAACTGAGTTCTGCCAAATTGGAGCATGCCAGAATCCCATCTGTCTGGGATACAGAAAACAAATACTATAGGTTGATAATTATTTAAGAATGGTTTAAACAAACAACAATGCATATTAAAATAATGAGAGTAGTTCTAAAGCTTTAAATGTTCTTCTTTCTTGCAGTGATTGATCCCACAAAAGTCTATTTATTTCACTAATTCTTCTTATAAAGCATTTTGGTTTTAAGATATGACCAAAGTTCTAAGCCCTCCAGTAGAAAGAAGGGGACCCCTCATGGCTAAGGGGGAGGGGCCAAATTAGCATTGAAAAATGAGTTCTTGGCCATGATGGGAGGGTAATGTCAGACACATCTAGTTATACCCGCTCCCTCGCTAACAGCAATGAGCCTTTCTTTCCTAAGGGCTAAATACTATCTAGCCCTTTGAAAAGACTCCATCACTGATATCAACCACCCACCTGATGCTGCCCCTTATTTTTTGCCTGATAAAAGACCGCCAACACAGAATGGTTCTGTCATTCTAGGGAGGATGTGCTATGAGGGGTTTCATGTCCTCTGGTCTACCTTTTGACATCGCAGAGCCAAAACCTCCACCCTCAGATGCTAATACTGCCATTTTTCATACCCGAAACCTATGAAGGGTTGCACATGCAGATGGTTCTCCTTTCATAAATATCCATGACTTCTCCTATGACTTATTAAATTTGTATATTCATATATACATATGTATATAGTTCATACACAGAACCCATGAAACTCAGTTGCACAAGCACATGTTTCTCCTTTCATAAATATCCGTGACTCCTCCTGTAGCTTATCAAATATGTATATTAGGCCACTCCATTCAGCACAAATTCCTGTTTGTTCCCTTTGCTCCTCCTTCGAAGTGCCAGTTTACAGCTTCTGACCAAGGGAGGCTACACTTCCTAGCCTGTCAGAATGGCCACCAGGCAGGCTAATAAAGCTCTGTCTTCCAAAAAGAAAGAAAGAAATGCAAGGAAGGGAGGAAGGGAGGGAAAGGGAAAAGGAAAGGGAGGCAGGAAAAAAAGAAAAAACTATGGCCAAAGAATTCTGATCGATAATCACATAACGTTTTTTAAAAGCTTGATTGGAAACTGGGCGGAGATTTCCACTATCAGCCAGCCTTCAATGACCTCCCCTAAGTGACTCTCAGCATTTTGGACTCAACGTTCCCCTGATGCAGCTTCTGGGGCGGGAGAACACACAGAGTTGTAGAAAGTGTTAATACTTCACTTGATGAGCTGGGCAATAGCTGTTTGAATAAATCTGCACTTCTCTTTCATCATTCGTCTATCTTCAAGAATATTAGAGGACTGACTCTACTCATGCCAGATGACAGACTTGATATTTAATCTTTGCTTTCCTCTTAAACTGTCATAGTTGGTATCTTATTTGATGGGTTGTAAAGCAAAAGACACCACAGTTAACTGACTGCAAAAATACGAGACTGTAAGTTACAGATTTATTCAGTGAGATGCTATGGCTGTGTATTTTTAACTGTTTAGGTCTCATTTTTCTCACCAATGTAATAATTATTTTTTCTATATCAAATAGGGACAATCTGTAAATATTCAGGTAATTGGCCAACGTTTTCTCTTTTTTCTTAGTTGAATAGTCTCTTCAGTTCAGTGGTGGCTGCTCCTAAATGTTATTTGAGTAGCTTAACTAATTGAATAAAGTCATTTTAACTTTCATGATTTTCTGTTAAGTGAAATTCCTGCTCTCAGTATGTTAAACTGGTATGAAATTTTCTGTAGCCAGGGGTTGGTATACTGCTTTCCTGTGGGTTAGAGGTTTCCTGCACTGGAAATAGAGCACCCCAGGGTTACTGTTATGGAAAATCTACTTTGTCACTGGCTCCCAGCCCTGTGCAGGGAAATGTTTTTTTTCAGGGATCCTGCCCTGGAGACGAAAATCAGGTTCTAACAATGTTTCCTTTTTAAATGGAGTTATCTGCAGCCATGCATGGGAAAAAGAGCAGAATAAAATAAAATTTGCCTGCTTTCTGAAGATAACTCAGCCTTACTTCACTTGTCAACCATGCTTGGTATTAAAAACTGTCAGATCAGCTGACTTCCATAGCACTTGGCTATTGCATTTATGTTTATTCTTTTGTTTTTCCTTATCTAGCATATCAGTGACAAAAATTATCTAATTGTTTTCATTGTCACAGTCACAGGAGAGCTTAATTATACATGAGCACTTGGCTGTCATCTTTTTTCCTCACACTTTTTTCTGGTCTGGGTCTTCCCAGTGCTGTGTTTGTAATATCCAGCTGCACAGGCCTCCTATTAAAATGAATTATTATAATTAAAATCACCATGTAGATCATAAAAGGTAAAAGAGTACCCCAGTCACTTATCCATGAACATTCTGTCTTTGTTGACAAGAATTTCTTACAACACTAAGGTGTGCTGCACTTAGGGATTATAAACCATGGGTTTGAGCTTAGAAACCTGCTTCTTTGGGTTCCAAGTTTATTGCATTCATCAGCTGTCCACTTCAGCAACCACAAGTGTGCTAACTCCTATTCAGGGTTGGTAAAATGGCCATTTTTTTCCTTCTTGCATTAAAAACATTTTACCTTCTTTCAAAAGCCTGCTGGGCATGATCATTGTTCCCGTTGTCTGAATAATGGAAGTCCTATTGCCCGTTGGTTTGTCCCTACTGTGGCCATGTCTTCAAGTTAGCCTGTGCTACTCATGTTTGGTATGTATGAAGAACTGAAGCAAGTTCAGGCATAGAACATTTTTACCCTACCCCATCTTCCCAATTTGTTTTTACTATAACCTGTACTTGGCTATCGTGGTCTAGTTTAATCTACTTTTCTCAGTCTTTTTTGGCATTAAAAAACTTCCTAAAAATAGATTGTATTTCAATGGTAAAATGCTATGGATCTTTGTTACTAAAGATAAACATTTTCCAAAATGACTTTAATATATTATTTACTTGTTTAACAGATTTTTTTTAATTGCCTACCATATGGGAGGCATTATTAGGCACTATGGTTGCAAGACAAAATCTCTGCCCTCAAGGACCTAATATTTTACTGGAAGTTAAGCGAAATGCACTATTAAGCAAATAAATTAACTAGGACATTTTATTTTCTGGTAAGAGTGATAAAGAAAATAATTAGGTTGACTGGCCAGGTGCAGTGGCTCACACCTGTAATCCCAGCACTTTGGGAGGCCTAGGTGGGTGAGTCACTTGAGGCCAGGAATTCGAAACCAGCCCCGTTTCTACTAAAATATGAAAATTAGCTGGGTGTGGTGGTCATGCATGCTGGTAGTCCCAGCTACTCGGGAGGCTGAGGCAGGAGAATCACTTGAACCCAGGAGGCGGAGGTTCCAGTGAGCCGAGGTTGTGCCACTCACTGCACTCCAGCCTGGGCAACAGAGCAAGACTCCATCTCGAATAAATAATTAAATAATTAGATCGATATGATAGAAAGTAGCTGAGAGCAAGAGAAAGATTTCATAAGATGAGGTAGTCAGGAAAGACTTGTCTGAGAATGGCCCTCTGACCCAAAACCAAAAGGATGAAAATGAGCTAGGCTTTCAAGGGGAAGTGCATTCCTAGCAGAAGGTGAGGAAGTGCAAAGGCTCTGAGGCAGAAAACTACTTGACGTTCTTGATATGCAGCAGGGAAGTCAGTGTTAAGTAAATCGTAGTGAGCAAGGGGCAAAGGTTGGAACCTTAGGAAGGTGACAGACTGCAGTACTTTGTAAGCCAGGCACAGAGTTTGGGATTTATTCTCTGAGTATAGTGGGAAGCCATTACAGCCTTTCAAGGCAGGAGGGTGACTCGATTTGATTAATGTTTTTAAAAGACCACTCAGGTTGTTTTGTGGTGAATGGATGATTGGAAACCAAGAGTGAAAGCCAGACAACTAGTTAGGAGGCCATTGCCAATATCCAGGTGAGAGATATTGTTGATTAGGACGTAAGAGAGGAAGAGAAATGGAGAGACTTGAGATATATCTTGGAGTTAGAGCCAATGGGATATTCTCATTTCATTCCTACATCTGTCTAGTTTATAGATATGGAAATTGAGTCCCAAAGAGATTAAAGTAATTGATTTAAGTTTATACAGTAAAAAACAGAGCTAGATTTCAAATGCTGTGCTAGAGGTTCTGAAACTTCAGTGTGCATCAGAATAACTTGGAAGTCTTATTACAACACAGAATTCTGGGTCCCGTTCTATGTTCCCAGTGGGAACACACCAGATGGAGGCTTTGATTTGGTAAGTCCAGAGTAAGACCAATAATTTGCATTTCTAGTAAATTCCCA